GGTGGTACCGAATTTGTGTGTTTTTCAAAATTAACATACCTAATTCAACTTTAATTTTCATAATTTTTGTTCATTTACCATTAAACATTGTTACATGTTATTATCTAAACCTCATTACAAAAGTACCACATCACTTATTTTAGAATGCATGCCTCTTTTTCTGAAATACTGCTGTAGTGGCTGGGACAGGGGTTAGGGAGTACACAAAAAAGCTTGGGCTAGAAGGGTTAAGATAGGAGTTTCGCCTTTCATTTACACGCCAATGGCATACGTACACCAGCACAGTAAATATCTAACTTGTGTAGATGGAGCTAGGAAAAAAAAACCCATCTACGTATAAGAAGGTAAAAAACAAAACAAACATCTACGTGTAAGAAAGTAAAAGTAAAGATCTACGCATAAGAAAGTTTTTAAAAAAACTAAAACATTTACGTGGTTTTAAATAAATACAATTTTATTTTCAAAAATGTTTGTTCAATAGAGCGCAAAGAAGGGCGGCCATGACAGTGCCTGATCTAGGATTATAACATTAAACTACAAGTCTATGGACAAGACTGACCTACATAATATGTAAAGGTCTGTTGTGCTATGAAGTTTAATGTGTTAGCAATTAGCCTTGGGCGGTAGAATGGTGCGATCGGAGTGAAGAAAAGCTGGTGGTGTTGAGTCCTCACCGGCCTGATCTTCTCTCACTACACCCCGGGGAGATCTTAACCTCCTTGGCCGGGAGAACGGAGCTGTGTGTTGTGTTGTTGTAGCTTTTATTTTGTTAACACTGTGTACTTCTGTATCTTCTGGTCGTCCTCTTCTTCTTTGTATTGGTAAACTTTCCCAGTTGTCTGTCGGACTTTTGTGGAAGAACCCCCCCCCCCCCCGGGCTTTTCCTCTCCCGTTTTTATTTTTAAAAAAATAAATTATACATCTGCTTTGGTTCTGTTTGTTTCTGGGGTGTGTTGAGAGGGGATGGGGGGTGTTTTGTTTTTGTTTTTGTCTTATTATGGCTTCGTTGGGTGTACCTGGATAATAATATGGCGTTGTTGTAAACTCCTTTGTCTGTGTTTTCTTTTCGGTTTTGGGGTTTTTGTTTTGTTTTTTTTAACCTAGGAAAAAGGGGAGGGTTGTTGAAGTTTGCTGTTTATTTTCAGTATGCCTGTGTTGAGTGTAACTGAATAATATGATGAGAATGTTGTCTCCAAGGTAGAGGGGTCATTTTTCAGGGAGATAAATAAAATGACGAGACGCCGGGAGGGTTCGGCGGAGGGGCAAAGATACAGCAGCGAGGAGTGTAGGTAGGTGTGGGAGGAGGGTGGGGAGGGGGG